ATTCCTTCTTCCCTTGGGAGCTTGCTCAGTTATTTTGTGTGTGCAGGCTCCCATTTGAAGGAAAGCCTATCCTTTGCTTATTTACTTCGTAGAAATAAATTTTAAGCACCAAGTCAGTGTTTACTGAACATACGTTGCATGTATGGTATGATCCTTGAGAAAACCTGTCACATTATAAATACAAAATCATATTTTGTGTATTTAAGCCAAGTAATTTTATTACATTTAGCCAGTTGTCTTAATCATCATTATTGCCATCACAAAACATTTGTCAGATTCCTAAATTTCTTCATCTCCTCTAATACCTCTTTATTCTCTCTACTTGCTCTCTCAAGGAGGGGAAGAACAAACTTACTTACAAAATGTAGAAAAGGTTAAAAGAAACAAAAAATTAATGAACTATAATTTATTCTTCCTTTCTCCTCCTTTTTCACTTGAGTTGTCTGTTCTGTTTAGGGATACCGGGCTAGAGAGATGAGTGTTTCAGGGTTGGCATTTGATGATGTCAAGGGACTGTAGTAACGGCCTTGCATGGAGATCACACAGTGAAGCTGCACACTGATTGCCTCATCTTATTAGCTAATGGAGAAGACAAGATTGTAGAGCTTTCAAGCCTGAGCTCCCATGATCTGATCCTAAGAGCTCAATGATTGTCACTGCCCAGTGGGACTGTGTTGAAAATAGTGGTGGCTTAGTGTACTGAAATACATTCATTATAAGAGTGCTCAAACAATTTCCCACATACTTTGGATTGTTTCGATAAGGTTAGGACTTTCAGATCAACTGTAGTTTTCCTTCATAGCAGTTACAGAATTTTAAAATCAGGACCACATGTTTACTTGTTGTCTTCCTCCACTAGAGTTAAGTTTGCTGATGTAGGTGAATTTTTATTTCTTGAACTATTGCTATTTCTCCAGCTGCTAGAACAGTGGTACATGTATGTGCTTAATAAATGTTTTTGGATGAGTGAATGAATGGATACATTAAATATAATTGTTCATTATTTGTACTGCAATATATTCCTCAGATAGAGTTTGTGAAGGTGGTATCATTTTAGATGTTTTTGTGCTAAGGAAGATAGCTCAGATTTTGAATACTATTTAACAAATATAGAGTTGAGTACATAAAAGGGAAACTGAACATGAAATCCATGTCTTAATGGATTACCATTATTGTAACTTAAATTGTGAACAGTAAGATTGTTAGATGCCCTTGACTCAGGCATTGAAGGCCTTTAGTTGCAACTTCAGCCCCAAAAATGTTTGAGAGGACGGTAAAAAGAATGTTCCCTTTCTTCTAAGAAAAGAACATAATAAAACTTTTTTAAACTGTTCTTTCAAATATAAGTGCATTATAAAATGTTACTAACCACTATGCTATGCTACCTCCTTTAAAGCATGCCTTCCATATGCCCTTTCTTAAGATTTGTATGTAACAAAAATAGTAAACCAAGAAAGAGCGAGGCGTGGCATGCAGGAGCTGATGGACCCACCCCGGGAAAGCGGTGTGGGAAATTAAAGGAAAAAGCCACAAACCAGGCCTGTCAGTGCCCATTTCTGGTGAAGGAGAAGGACAAGGCAAGGGAGGACTCCATTAAAGTGGATGTAGGAAGAAAAAGGATTGATGAAATAGAAGCTATAATGGGAGGCTTGGGAAAAGTTGAAGGTCTGGTAAAGGCAGTTGGTGAAGTACAAAACAGAATCCATTAGGCCCTGACCCTAGGTGCACCATTCACAAGTAGAGAAGCACATGCAATCTTAGCCCCAAGGGACTGTAGGAAACTGCATCCATGGTCATGACAGTGTAAATGCCCTTTGTTGATTTTAAAGTCTTAGTCTTAACCTCTAGAGTAAAAAAACCATAGAAAATTGAAGTGGTTATAGAACAGAATGTAAATATTCTCAGTCTTGACCATGTAATAGTGTATGTACAGCAGATAAAAGTTAGGCAGTGGAAGGATGTGAGGGATAATGGAGGGAGAGGATGAAGACGAGAATTATTCCAAGAAAGTTATACTCTGACTGGTGAGCTAAAACGGTGGCTTAAGTATGTGGCTTCAAGTCCCTCTGATTGAGGGACTAGAACTGCTGGTATCACTACATTAGGAGGAAGGTGGGCAGGAATGAAGAGGCAGTAGGGGGAAGATGAGCTGATGGTCAAGGATGTACTTAGGTGGATGATGCGTAGAAGTGGTAGGTCATATGTAAGCACAGTATTTAGAAATCTGAGGTATCTTTGAGTGTCCTGGGAAGAGACTAAATTTAGCTCCAGTGGTTCAAATGCAGAGTTTATTGAAGGGACCTCTTAGGGTGCTATGGGCTTGGTTTAGATTAGAGTCCCTACATTCTTAGGTCTGGTGGAACAGAGGAGGAAATAATACGTGCTAATTTCAAAGACTATACATAAGACCAGTGAACCCTGGAACAGTAGAGGAGCAGCTACCTCAGGGCACTGGACCCAGAATTAGGCAGCCACCCCCAGAAAATAGGAGTTGAACAAGCCAGAAGAGAGGGGGATAAATACACACACCTCTGCTCCAAACATAGAGAAAGGCAAAGAATGGGCGGAGATGGGGTGAAGGGGGCTGGTAGGTGGCTGTTAACCAGGATGACCAGTAGTGAGTGCACGCCAAGAAAAGCCAATGCCAGGACATCCTTCTCTTCAGAGTAGAACAGGGAGTGAGGATGCTTGGAGTGGGGATTATTGTACTGTCTGATAAGCTCTTCTGTACAAGTTGATGTTTTCACCTCCTACAGGTATAAACCTAATACAATATTTTAATATAGATACTTTGGTTTATGTTTTTATTATTTCATCTAATGTGCTAGGCCCTTGGTGAACAGGAATGACTCAAACAGCCTCTGCCTTCAGTTGCTTGTAGTCTACTTGGAGAGGAAGCTAAACCAGCAAAATAATAATAATAAACATGGTTATAAATTGTGATTAATGCTATAAATTTAATTTCATGTCACAAAATGTTAATGCTGCTTGTATAAAGTCTTTAATAATGATACTGCACCAATTTTTAAAATATAGTTGAGAGTGGGAACAATTCTTTCTCGAATAGCTTATTTTGCTCTATTTAACTGTAAATACATGATATGCTGCAAATGAGACTTACAAATGGAATAGCTGCAGCTCATTATTTTGTTTCTTTGTTATTCATTTTAATGGATAATTTGAACAGGCTCCTAAGCAGTAAATTAGGTGTATAAACATGCTTTAAGGATTATATCATAATGTTAGTGTATTTAAAACCTAGTAGTGATATCATTGTCTAAATGTGGTAAACTTTAAGAAAGTCAATTATTTTAACTAAAATAACTTTACCCTCCATAAATATTTTGGCAATAAATAGACAAGAGATCAGAATAAGATCTCTGTCCAAGTATAGAGAGCTGGGAAAATGCCAAATGCCCCCTACCTTCCTTGTTGCTGACATGAGCCTCAATGATTGGAATAAACCTTCTGGGGTCCTTACTCGGAATTTGCTTTGCCTTGCTTTTCTGGTAATCATCTGAGCAACCACAGAGAAATTGGGAAAAGCATTAGAAGTACAATAGTTTTATTGTCTTCCTGATTCTTCCTGTCACTGAGTTTTGTCCAAAGGGAAGAGATGAATGAGCAGAGAAAGCCGGGTGTCAGCTGTCTGTCTCCTCATTCCTCTCGCTTCTCACAGCCTTCACAACAGTCTGAACAGAAAAACGTTAGACTCTGTGTTCCTGTATCCTGAGCATTTGCTTATCAAAATAAACCTTTGAACACTTCATGTCCCCTGATTTAGGTTACTCAGGTTCCTCCAAGAAAAAGCTGGTGAGAGTTTTAAGCTAAAACTGCATACATGTAAGATATAGTCATAAATCACTGGAAGCTAACTGCTTTTAGAAACTGCCAGAATTATCACACTAATGCACTTCTATAAAGGGTGGTGCCTTTGTTCATCTCAGAGAGCTTTTTGTATGGATTCTCTCATGTGATTTTTATATTGTTCTAAGAAACAGAATTCCTGCTGATGCAGGAGGAGTTTTATATGTTCAGGGGTTTACATATGCAAGAAAATTTAGAAATCCGTCTCTAGAAATCATTTTGTTTATAATAATCAGGAGTAGTTATGCATTCTGGTTGTCCTAGAAGTTAAGAAATGGAACTATGGGATCACTGAAGACCAGAAACTGTGTCTAATACTTGTGTCTCTCCTTCAGGGATCATTTTCTGATGTTTTGTTCAGTGAGTGTAGTTTGTATAACCCTGGCTGGCTGTCTTGCAAATGGGTGCCACCAGTCACAAGAGGTGGGGCATGGGGGGTCATCATGCGATTGGTGGTTAACGTGAGTCAGGAGCAGCACCTGTCATCTTCCTGTTTAAAGAGCAGTACATGTTAGTGCACAACACTGGTGTAAAACGGGCAGCCGGCTTAGAAGAGAGTCAGCTGTCGATGATGAGATCATAGACAAAACCCACACCCCTTTCTAGACAGAAAGATGCCCTTGGAGATAAGCATGCTTTCTGAAAGGAGTCACTCAGCCATGCCTGCCATCACTGAACCAGTCTCCATTTCACTTTACCTGTTCCGTGATTTGAAGTACTTTGGAATTGAATCCATAGATATCCAGATTCTTCTTTATGGAAATGATTTTGTTTTAGCTGTTCATGTCTAAGACTACCTGGAAACCGAAAATAAAGTAACTAGACCCTGTCAACTTAGAAACTATCAGTTAGTAAATTGTTTTCTAGCATGCTTTGTTTTCTTAAGTCTCAGTAAAGCCATATACTACCTAGATGTAATTTAAAGATGTCAACTTTTCCTTAAAAGGCAGTGATAAAAACTCCACATGTGTATAAACAAGGAAATAGCCAATCAAAGTTGACACAAGAGTTTTTGTCTTTGGAACAAGTGTTTTTAATAGGCATCGTAAGTTTTTATCTTGCTCTGTTCTGTTTTTGTTTGTTTCTCTAGATTTTTGTAGTGCCTGCATTCTTTTGTTTTCTCTCTTCATAAGGATTCCACTGGGGGGCAGACAAAAGAATGGAGAAGAAAGGAAACCCTTATCAGTGTATTGCATTCGCCACAGCTTTATGCCCTGTATGCTGCTCCCTCTGGATACCTCGAAGGAAAGTTTTTCTATTTTGTTGCGTTTTGTATAGTAGCATCTAGAGTGGTTTTTGATATATGCTTATTTCTACATTTAAAGCACAGTATACACATTTATGGTAATTTTCCAGTTAATTCACCATCATGGTATTTGTTTTACTTTTCTAGCATGCTTTGTTGATCAAACCACACAATAATTATAGATGATTGTGATAATGATCCCTGTGAGGTTCACCTTGTACATAACAACTCATTGATTCATTGTACCTCAAGACTCACATTGTTCATTCCCTCAGTCAGCACTCACAGAGTCCCTACTTTTTGTCAGGCATTGCAAGTGTTAGTTTTTGAGAACAGAGCAGTGAAGAGAGAGCCTAGGAGACTGAGTGTAAGCAAATGGTTGGTTTATGCTTGCCCTCTAAGCCAATTTGTAAAGGGACTCGGCTGAAAGAAACTGGAGGGGAGACTTGATGGCTGCAGTGCTGGATAGTTTTATCTAAGTATTCTTTTCAGGCTGCTCATGACATTAGAATGTTGTTTGGGGTTGGTGTGGGTCAACAGTCAGCGAGAGAACAAGCCCCTCCACACCAGGTCTAATAGATGAGCTAAAGATGTGTGTTTTAATTCTTCCATTGTCTTTGCTCCACTAAGAGTTGGATCTAGTTACCAGAAAGTCATTTACCTCAGCTAAACCGAGGGTTATGTAATCTTTATATGAAAATCTCATTTCTTTGCCTCTTCATGATCAATTACTCAACAAACTATGGAGTGATGCTTTCGTTTTTGTTTCTTTTTAAAAGCTAGTCAAATTTCAACTAGAAATATTTTGTTTCTGCTCAGCTCCCTCTCTATCTTTGGAACAAACTATCCTTTTTTCATTGTAGATAGTCTAGATTATTTAATACATATTAGATTATTTAGATTAGATTGCCTGATCTTTTAATTATTAAAATATAAACATTTAAATGGACAAGAAATAGAAGTATTTATTATGAGAATGTCTTCAAGTTACAGTGCCTAACATAAGTGTAAGCATCAACAGATCTTTTTTTCTGGGCTGAATTCTTCATCTATTAGATTTAATAAATCATTCTTTACACTCTGAGATTGCAGTGTTTGATAAACAAGGTGATAGCATTTCTTTCAAGAAGACTGTACGTACTTGTTTTAGTCATTATTTGCTTAGCATCAACTGCTTACTATACCAAATTGGATAAGGCCTAACATGACAGTCTTTGAATAATAATTAAATATCTTAACATACTTAAATAATTAAGTATCGGGCATGCTGTGCTAAGAAAGCCCATGGCAAATGAATGTCTTGTGTTTTTACTATCATTAAATCTGTTTTCTTTATCAGGTTTCAGAAAGTATTTCAGTTGGGGCTTCACCTTAATTTCCATAATTCTAACGTGATAAGCAAGACTTGGGAAAAAATAACAGTAAGTGAAATATTAAGGAATTAAAAATGTACATCTGAGAATGTTAAACCTTTGTAAGTTGAAAGTATGGCTTATGAAATCAAAGATAGATACATCTTTATTTAAAAAGTTAGCTATTTGAAAACTACATATGTATAAGAATAAAACAGGATGAAAATATGGAAAGATACATATTTTTGATGGTGGTAACATTATAGGTAATTTTTCCTAATTTTAATTTAAATTTATTGCTGCTTATAGTTTATTAAAAATAAATTTAAGTAAATGCTCCAAGGACTTACATGATTTTATTCTGGAGAACACCTTGCTTGGAGACAGGATAACCTTCAGAATTACAAATTCCACTGTAGTACCTAAACTCAGAGGCACTTACCTTTGGTGTCTGTGACGTACACGTACAGGGCCAAGGCTCTTGCTGCAAGTGTCACTTTCTCTTATTTTTTAAATAGCTGCCAAATTTTAAAGATTTGTTAGAATTAAATGTAGTGGATAAAATTTAAAGAAATTCTTTCCAAAAATTAGTATTAAAAATTAATTTTATTTGACTTACAGAGACCAAATAGATTTTTGTCTACGCTAATAAAATACACCTTTGAATCATTAATATTCTTAGTATAACCTGTGCTTCTCACCCCCTCCCTGCAATCCCAGTTGATGTGAGCATTACGGTTTTTAGTCAGAAAATTTCCCTGTGTTTGATTTAGAATTATCTCATTTTTCAGAAGCAGGACAAGAATTAGAATTGTTGCCTTCAACATGCCTACACTGGAGTACCAGTTAGGATGTGGGGATATCTACATACCTATGTTATGTTCCACTTGGCTTCTGTCTACATTTATCTGTTGCAGCAGCATCTACAGTGTTAGGAATGAGGAAGGGTGAAGGGACTGGATTCGAGAGTGGATGTATTGAGTGGCAAAATACAAGCAGGATATCTCTTCTCAGAATTCTGGAGGGTCAGGTCCCACCAAAAAAAAGAGTTGGATGTTTTGATGTTCTGAAGCTCTCTAATAAAATGTGTAAAAGGTACCATCTTTTCCTTTCCTGCTTGTCTTTTTCATTCTAAATCTGCCCCTCCTTTATTCTGAATACCACCAACTGTATCTTTAAAGGAAAACAGTAAATTGTGAACTTCTGTGGTGAAGTGTGGGATGACGTCTTTAAAAACCCAAGCCAATCCCTGTCCTCCAAATTCAAGATTTGTATTTAGAAGACAGTGTGGATCCTGTATTTTTTAAATGCTGTAAACATGTTTGTGTGGTTATTTTTAGCTTTGACAGACTTTAAACTTCCAAGTTGGCAACTCAAAGGCAGTCAGTTGTCTGTTACCTCAGATGCCAGCACTTTGTGAATGAATGATTGTCTAACAGAATTTCTAACAAGTTTAAAACAGATAAGTGTATAACTTCTCTTTTATGTCAACTGCTTGCAATATTTCTGTATATGATCATGCATACTGTGCCTGTTTTAAAAAGCTTTCATCAACTGTATAACTTGGGTAACAGTTTTGCTTGGAGTTAAAGATGAGTTGGTTCCTGCCAAATTGTACTGTGATTCCTCTGGCAGAAATAGCTAGTCATTTTCTCTTTCCCTCAGTCTCCTTTTCTCCTAGTCCTTAAGCATTAAATCATGCATATACAAATCCTTACAGTCGCTGTTATTTTCAGTCCATTGTATCTACTTCCTGTTGGTCAAAGGTTATAAGGCTTGGGTGGTGTAGGAGAGATGGAGAATTGACAGGAAAAAGAAAGCTGGGCCCCTCTTAGGGCTGACACACCACAGAATGGGCAAGATAGCTCTGATATGTTGAAAACAGAAAGATATAAATGATCAATAGCTTTTCTCATATGGTGAAGTTATTTGCATGTTACATGAGTGTAAATGTGTTTTTCCCCCAGAGGGTCATGTTTTAGGAAAGGGTGGCTGCCACCCCTGTCTACTGTGGAGGGGAGGGGGCAGCAGCAGCTGCACTTGGCTGAGTCCTCTGGGTTCACATCAAGACGTCTTCTTGATTTCATTATCTGTGGAATAATTTTTATATCATGTTAATCTTTCTACTTAATTCTCCTCTTTGGATGAGATTATTCTTCCTTGCATTTTGAACTCAATGTGTTTCCCAGGCACTGACTCCAGAATGTATAATGTATCTCTTTGGAAGGATGTCTTTGGTTGCCATGTGTCTTTTTGTTCAGGAAGTTTTACACTGAGTTTTATGTTTAGAAGAAAATTATACTAAGCATTAGTTTGGCTTATTACAAATAAATGTAGTTATGGAAATCTGAAATTTGTTTTTATAACACTTTAGCACTTTTCCTCTACTTCTTAATGTGAAAGTGTTATTTTTGAACTGTGATCCAAATCTCAGTGTATCAGTGTTTTACTTACTGTAAATTGTGAATGTTCAGTGAGAAACTTAGAAGAGAAAATGAGGATTTTTTTTGTATGTTTTGCCAGAAATTCAAAACACTAGTTTTACCCAAAAATTAATTATTTTGTATCAGATATCTGAATAAGAAGGGGGAAAGCTTAGAAATTTGTCAGTTTTATGAAGATATATTTTTTTAAAATTCTAGATTGTTACTGGTCCTATATGTTTTTAAACAATCTCTATTTAAGCATGTTCTTTTCAAACAAATAATAACAACAACATAGGTGACATGGTGTTTGTAGGGCAAAGTAAGTTTGTGGAACACAGAAGATCTGGAAGTAGGTTCACATAAAGCTCCTCATACCACTTACTAGTAGTAGCGCCACTCAATTTAAACATTTGTTGTGGGCTTTCTTTTTAGTGCTGCAGCCTCTTCAACATTGGTACTGCCTCTTCCTCACATCAAAGAAATGGACTTTAAAGCCGCACTGTCTCGTTTGATAGCTGGTGGCCATGTGGTGGTCCACAAAGCCATTTCTGTCATCAAAGAGTTCTCTTAGACAGCGCTGCTCTGACACTGCAATTCGAAATTTTTGTGGCTTTAATTTAAGATGTGATAATAATTTCCTTCTATTTAAACAATAGTACTTAATGTTCTCACATCTTGTTCTTCTGTTAAACATGTACATTGACACTATACTAACTAGCACATGGCATTTTGCCCTTACTTTTCCTAATGATGTTATATTCTACCCTCAGAGACTGGAATATTATTATTACACACACACAATGTTGAGTAAGTGTGTGTGTGTGAGAGAGAGAATATAATTATGTGTACATAAATATACTAACATAAATAATGTTTTATAACTAAAATATGTAGACTTTCTCATAATACTGTAAGCACTGTCTGAAATTGCTGAAATTGTAGTTTCCTAATTTTAACATATTGGCATGGGTTCATATTGACTTGTTTCTTGATTGAGTTACTTTCACTCTTTGTTGACTGAGCCTTGAGAGGAGATTTGGTAAGACTTATTATGGCTAAAGTCTTACAGCAATGTGAAAGCCCAATGTTGGCTTGGCATATCATCTATTTACATGAAGACTAAGTTAGTGAAGGACAGAGACAGCAACATCTGGGTCAGGAGGAGACATTCAGTCATTTGTTCATGAGTTTAGGTAACAGTCATTACCAATACCTTTTAAGTCATAAAGTCCTTGCATGCTAACTACTTAAAGAGGAGTAAGACAGGGTCTTGGGGAGGAAAGCAGCTGTGCAGAGGACAGACATGCAAGAGAAGAGTACTCTGATAGACATCTGCACGATGTGCTGTGGACACCCCAGAGCAGTCAGCTCTACCTAGGACAGGTGGCAGCCAGAAACGGTAGAAAGGAAGGCATTGCCAGTGTTCTTCGCACCAGATTCCAGTTACCACAAATGGAAAAAATAAGTTCCTTGCCAAGATCTCTCAGTATTTTGGAAATTTTCTAAACCATGGGGACAGAAATATTTAAATATCATTCAAAAGCATCATTTTAAAGACTATATAATATACCTTTGTGGACATGTATCATAATTTATTCAGTTTCCTACTGTCACTAACATTCCTGGTTTGCTCAGGACTAAGGGATTTCCCAAGATGTGGAACTTCAGTTCTAAAATAAGGACAGTCCTGGAAAGATTGGGATGGTTTGTTACCCTACTGGTTTTTTAATATTGAGATTGTTTGAAATATTTACTCATATAAACAACATGTTGAATGTTTTGATGCCTACAAATTTAACTGCATTTTCCTCTGTTTCCTTAGGTGAGATTCTTAGAAATGAAATTAATGGCTCCATGACTCCAGCATGTGTAGAGCTCATGCTAATGCTTACAGACCCTTATTGCACTTTTGCTGTTTTCAGCTAGATTGGTAGGAGTCTGCCTGAACATCTGTGCTACCTCAGCCTCCACAGGTGCTTAGGGAGAAGAGAGCCAGGGACATACTCCACCCGTCACTAACTGCAGCCCCCATTCCAAATCTAAGTGGCTAGATTGTGTGTGACTCTACTTTTTGTCTAGGCCAGAGTAAGGCTAAAGGTTGATTCCAAAAGTCAGAGTGGATTCCCTGACCCTGCTTTCCAGTGACTATGCCCTGATGGGGCTCACCAAAAAGGGAGAGATCAGATGTAACCCAAAGCAGGTGATCTTTCTTCCCACTGCGGTCCAGCTGTCCAGTCACCACAGGCCTGCATTCCCAGCCGTCCAGCATGCTGCAAGCTCATGTTGGATGCTCTGCCAGCCAGGCTCTTGCCCCTTTTCAGCCTCCTCCTGGTCTGCATAAAGAAGCTTTGAAAATCCCCAGAGTTACAGTGTGTCCCCAATGCCCTGACAGTTGGGGAATATGATACAATACAAACTAGTATTTACAAATAAAAATATACTTGACCTGCCCCACAATGCTGTATTGAGAATTAAGGCCATAAGATCACGTACATTTTTGTGTAAGTTCTTTATAAACTTTATAAATTTACAAATTTATAAATTTTGTGTAAATTTCCCTTTTCAGAGCCCAAGTCTCCTACAAAACTGTTCTTTGTGGTAAGAAGTATTCAGCCATTCTCAACATGTGCCCCAGGGATTCCA